GAGTGCAATCAGCTGAGGCCCTGGATGGGGCCCAGGCTCCTCCCCACGGGCCTCTCCCGGGCGCGCGCGGGCACCTGGCGGGGGTCCGGGTGGCGATGGCACCGGGAGGGGAGTTCGGAGGCTCCGCCGGGCTCAGAAGTTGCAGGAGGAGGTGCTGGGGACCTGAGATGACTTGGAGGGGCGCTGCCCACCCTGGGGACCCGGGAGGCGGCGGCCCTGAGGGCTTTCCGTAGTCCAGGCCGAGGTGGGCGGTTGGGAGCCCGAGCGAGGGGCTGGTCAGAAAGGAGTTAAACTGTGTGTTGGATGAAAAGAGGAAGAGGAGCCTGGGGTGTGAGCTGAGGCTGCAGTAATGGCCGCGGCCTGCATTTCCCAGCCTGGCTGCATGGGCTGGGCTGTGGGCTCCGGAGGGCTGGGGCGGGGCTGCCATGTCCGGGGACCTGGTCGCAGCCCCCCAACCTGGGGATCCTGAGAATTGTGGATTGGCCAGAGGCTGGCCGAAAATGCTGATGAGATAGGTCAGCAAAGAAGCGCGGCCTGCCAGCCTGGGGACCCCGTGCCTGACGGGTCCCAGGGGGGAGCGTCTGTCGCCGGAGGCTGAAGGGAGGCACAGTTACCCCGTAGTCACCGGGTCCGCACACTGGCTTCCTTTCTCAAACTCTGCCCTGCAGGTGACCTCTGCCCCTTCCTGTGCCTGGGCGGGATCTTCAGGCCCACGCTGGGGTTTTTTGGCACGATGGTGTCTGACCTAACACGGGCCCCTGCGCTCCCGTCTACCCAGGCCGTGGCCCTGGAGTCAGACACCACCGGTTAGGCTTGGCATCGGCCTGGCACAGTGCCTGACCCTGAAGCAGCAGGCCTGGGTGGCTGGGCTTCTAGGCATCGGATCTGGGAGATGTCTCCAGGGTATGGCCAAGAGGAGATATGAGGTGCTGCTGCCCTGGTGGGTGAGCCCAGGTGTCTCCCTCACCTCAGTCCCCAGGAAGTTCTCATGGAGCATTACTGAAGCCGTGCTCCTGGACAGGGTTCCACGGGTACCCCAGTGGCTCGGTTTCCGGGTCAGGAGGGTCCCCTCTGGGTCGCTATGGCAGGTCGGGAGCAGAACCCAAGTCACAGATTCCACTGTCAGGGTCGAGAGAGTCGGATGGACAGGGACAGTCCGCCTCCCCAGGCCATGCGTCCCCCGTTTGATATGAAAATTTGTCCTTCCACGCACACATCCCAAAGTGCACGCAAATGTCCCCTTAAAGGGGCTTCCCAGGAAAACCACCCCGCGGGCTGCAGGGGAGTTCGGCGTCTGGTCACTCCCTCTCTGGTCCCTGTGCTGTTGGCCTGTTTGTCTCAGCTTTTCCTCTGTTTTGTTTTTTCTCACTATGTGAGGCCTGACTGTAAATACAGACTAAATCGATGAGTCTAGCTTCCCAGCCGGCCAATATGAGCTGGAAAAAATTATAGACAATGAGTCTAGGAGCCTAAAACTCATCTATAGAAAACGTGATGCTAGAAAGTAGGGGGTGTTTTGCCTGAAGGAAAGGAGAGGGCTGCTCTCAAATAGTTAAAAGTGTGCCTTGGGGTGCCCAAGGGGACGGCGTAGGAACAGGGTGGGAGTCACAGGGAGACAGATGTCTGACTTGCTATAGGGAACTTTGGGAGAGTGGGAGC